AGCTACCACTAACTAGGCCTCCCACAGTTTCTTCATTGTTTATACTTAGTTTTAGGCACAGCTGCCCTGGGTTTCACTTACTCATAGCTATTATAACCCCCAGTGCTTTTTCTTCTAAAGTAGTCTTTCTTTTGTTTTAAAAGAGTCTGAATGCATGTCTGTCTATCTGAATGAGGTCAAAATTATAAGGTAGTGGGCCCTCCCTGGTGGTGCAGTGGGTTAAAGTGCAACACTAGGAAGCTCGCCTCAGCTGCTTCAGCATGAGTTCGATCTCCAGCCCCGGAGGTGACCCACATGGTGCGGCAGACCTCTCCTGTCTCACTCTCTGTTCCCCTCTGCAGTGTACTTTGTCAATTCACCTGTTCTGCTCCCCACTCTGTCTCTGTTGAATCCTCTCGCCGCCCCTGCTCCTCTGGCCTGTACCCCAGTTCTGTATGCATAAATAGGTAAATCTTTAAAAAATTTACAAGGTAGAGATTATTGGTAGATATGCATGCAAACATATTCACACATATATGTGTGTACCTGTTTGTATATATACAAACAACATATGTATTTCTATTATCTACCAAAATATCATCTTTACTTACCTATATATTTATCTATCTATCCTCTATTATCTATAATCTGTCATCTATCTACCTACCTACCTATCATCCTTCTATCTGCCAATAATTAGGATTTGTAAGCAAAAGAAATCAGTTTGGGTGTTAGACATTTTCTAAATGTGTTCTCGATGTTTCCGAAAACGTGAGGCCTCTACTGTTCACTGCAGACATAAGTGGCGAACCACCTGTGAAACGTGAACTGGCTCCATTCTCTTCATTTGTTTAAAAAAGAGAAAGCAAAAAGCTTTGCAGATTTACATGTGGATACAAGGAGTTAGGTTGCTCAATTATTTTGTGTAATTAGTGCTGATTTCACTGGATCAGCTGACCCTGCTCCATTTATTAGATAACTAAGACAGTGTACTCTCAGGGATATTGAAAGCACACTCAAAACATAATCAATAAAGTATTGCTTGGAGATTTTAGGATAGACAGATTATACTGGGAATTCATTATTTTGCAAACACCAAGATTATGTTTTCAAAAAATATCATTATTCAAACAAGTGCTCACCATAGAAATTTAACACAGAGAGCAAGCAAAACACCAGAATGATAAAAATCTAGCAAAAATTGTGTAACAGCTACTTTTGTGTTTGATGTCTTAATTTGGCCAAGAGTTATAATGTTTTCGGGCTATTAGTGGATGTCTAGTTCTCCTTCTTTTAATATAATTGGGTCATGACAAGGAACTAAATTTATGAATGTTGAGGAACTGTACATACTTGTCTCATTGATATGCTTTTAGTTTCTTTAAAAATAGTGCAATCTGGGCCCTCCCTGGTGGCGCAGCGGGTTAAAGCACTGCACTGAGAATCTAAAGCAACTTCCGCATGAGTTCGATTCCCCGGAGGAGACCACATGGCATGGCAGCCCTCTCCTGACCCTACCGCTGCTCCCCTCAGCAGTGTTCTTCGTTGATCTGCCTGTTCTGCTCCCCACTCTGTCTCTGGTGAAGCCTCTCACTGCCCGAGCCTCTGGCCTGTACCCCAGTTCTGTATGCATAAATAAATAAATCTTTAAAAAAAAATAGTGCAATCTTTGTAACTGCTCCATAATTTTTTAGATAAAGGAATGCACTCAGGAAATGATGGTGCCTCTGGGCTGGCTTTATTCAGGGGATGGCAGCTCCTGCTTGCTCCCCCACCCAGCTCTCTTTTTAAATGACAAAAAGTGTGGCAAAGCACTCCTTGGAGTAAAGATATTCTTCTTTTCTTTTTCTTTTTTTTAAAGTCATTTGCTTTTCAGAATCATCCTTTGAAAGCGGAGCTAAGATGAGGTTAGGGATTGCTTCCCCTCCACACCCCTCACCCCAACACCACCCCAGAGCTGATAACCAGTCAGGCTAAGGTATGTAGACTTTATGAACATTACAAGCCCGTGCTCGGAAAGGTAGCCAAACCGAACTCACCCCTGGAAATGTCTATGGGAAGCATGCTTTGGCCTTACTTTGTAGAACTCTGTTAAAACCCTAGGTCTCATATTCATTGGTGATATCCAAGTATAACTGTGCCATTTTTCAAAGGGAACTTCCCCCTTCTTAACCTAACTCTCATCATTAATAACTCTCTGAAATTATGCATGTCTTGTAGGACAATACTGTCAGTTGTTACCCTGGTAATAGCCTCTCCATGGTGCACTGTGATCACAATTATTCTACCACTGGTTACTATTAACAGTGGCCAACAGGAATACAAAACCTGGTACATCTTTCACAACTTCCTTTATAAGAAGTGTTTTACTATTGTGAACTAGTGAAAGTATTGTCATCACCCCAGCCCTGGACAGGCCGATAGAGAGATGAATGCTACTTTGACTGTCAAACTCCTATTTTTATTGCTGGTGTCGTCTCAGCTAGCCAAAAGCTGATAAAAGACCCTCTTAGTAAGAGGAAAGTGTGACTACACGCCATCAGTGGAAATGCAGCTTAGGCTTGAGGTGTGATAGAGACAGATTCATTTCTGTTGCTGAATCCCACCCTCTGCATGAAAGGAGGTCGATACAAGAGATGGCAAGAAGGAGTCCTGTGGGCACAAGTGTTTAAGATGCTATTTAATACAGCAGAGAGCCAGAATACATTGTTGGACACAAGAAAGAAGGTGGAATGTGTAGATACAATAAAGAACTGGCATTTATGAATTGCTATCTGTTATTGGAAAGAGTAATAAGTCAGGGAAAGAAATGACTTTCAGTTTCCAGACATGCAAAGGTAAGTTAGTTATTACAAAAGTTTTGCTGTTGTATGTGCCGAAAGAAAGCATATGCATGTAAACATTTTTAAAAAATAATTCACTCAGTAGGCTTAAGAAAAATACTCTAGTTCTTAGTTCATTGATCTGACCTTTTGACTCAAGATCAGGGAATGAATCCGGGATGAAAGCCACAAAACAAAACAGAAATGAATCATTTACCATGAAAAAGGCATTTCCAGTCGCAGCTAACCTTGACTGGCTTTGATTGCATTTTTTGGGGAAATGCCTAGAAATTGGCTTTGGACATAATATTTGCTGTTCAACTCAATCACGGCTGTCAGTGGGCAATTGCTTGCAACAATTAGCTAAACCCCGTTATTGGACAAATTCCCTGGAGGGGGCACAGAGGCTGGAGGGGTCTAGTGCCTGTGGAACCAGGTAGCCATCGGTGAGGCTGGGGCTGCAGCAAAGGAGAAAAGTTTGTAAATTCTTGTCCAGGCAAGGGCTTTCAAACAGTCTTAACTGTTTGAAAAACACATTTGTCCCGATCTTTTCAGTCCTGGCAGGTGCCCAGGAATGAATTGCAGGACTGGCGAAAGAGAAGGAAAAAAAAAGCCACCAACTTGAGATTCATTTTTCAAAGGGATCAGGGGTAGAGGAAGAAAAATATAAAAGCAAAGGTGAAGTGGCGAAGGTCTACAAGATGGAGAAAGGAAATCTCATGGAGCCTGCTAGCAATTTCCACCAAAGCAGCCCCTCACCTGACAGAAATTCAGTACAAAGTACACTGAGTAACAACTCTACCATGACTACAGTGGCCGTTTAAAAGCCAAATAATAACAGGAATAATAACTACAGTCTTCAAAAACAGAATTCTCATAAGATTCGAGAAAAATAGAGTGAAAAGGCAATGTTAGCTAAGCTCTTAGCTAAATCCACTCTTAATGGCCCCCAGTATTTAAACTGTCATGGATTAAAGCCATGAAAATAAAAATTTCAATTTGAAATTTTATTAGCATGTTGCTAAAATGGTCAATAAAAACATCAACACGATAGGTTTGGTTGACATAGTTGGAAATCTGCTCTTTCATTTTTAAAACTTTTATTTCCACTTCCCCACCTTCTAAGATTCTATGTTAGGAAAAGCCAAACTCAACAGACTGGCTATGGTGTTGCAATAATGCTGGTTTCTGCAATGCTGCCATGCCTTTCTCCTTCTCTCCTCAACCCCTCACCTAACCCCTTGTGACTTAACCGATGTGACTTTTTAATTATTTGATTTTATTTTTAATGCAGCCCAAGAAGGGAGCAATCTAGGGTTAAGAACAGCAAGCGCCTTTCAGTACAAAGTCAAGTTCCCAGACGCCAGCCCAGGTGAACTTTCTCCTTTCCCGGGCCGGGCTGGCTCCGAACCAAGTTGTCTGCAGCCATTTTCCTCCCGGGACCGGGAGGGCTTCCCTGTGGCCCGGAGGGGGGCTCCCGGGCAAAAGCGGGCGGGGGAGCGTTTGCGTCCCTGGGTAGAAAGAACGGGAAGCAGACTGTATCTAGTTTAGCCGGGGCCTGGAATGCGCGGGGCTGGAGAGCTGGCAAAGTCCCGGGAGCCTCAGGTCAGCCAGTCCCGATGTGCTCTCTCCTTTAGTTATTCACGCGCGCAGAAGGGACAGGCGCGGTTCCTGGAAACCCTGCAGTCTGGGGACACATCCATACAGGGGCTGACCTGCGCCCTGAAAAGATCGATTCTCACCTCCGACCGGCCCGTGGATGCCCGCTGGGGCGGCGGTGACGGCCCCTTTCTAGTCAAGGGGAGGTCCTCTGTCCGGCGACGACGGCCTCAGGGCAGTGACTGTGGGGGAGAGGCCGCGTCCCTGCTCCCCTGGCCAGCCCCCCCCCCTTGAACTCCAGGGCCCGGCGCTCGCCGGTCTCCCCCCACCACCACCACCACCACGAGGGGCTCCGCCCGGGGCGCGCAGGTGCTTCTTGGTCCGGGAGCCAGTTCCTGAGACTTC